GTGATTTTTGTTGGTATCGGTTTGGAGGTGAATTGTGAGAAATTTTATGTGGGCAGGTACAGCAAATACATCAATTAACAATCTGGACTCTAAGAGCAGTTTCCTCAATGTTTGGTTAGCAGACATCGATCAGTTAAGTTCTGGTTAAAAAAAGGTTCTGTATCGAATGAAGAAGTCTTGGTTAAGTTAACCAGAATTTATCTAACATATTTCTGCTAAACACACATAGAAAAGTTACTTAAGATGTTAGCTTTAACTATCCTCAGTACCGAGATGGAGGAATCCAAATGGATCCAAACTAAAATTGGTTCGGGAAAAGAACATTTTTACACTGTAAAAAAAAGATTGACCTTGGCAAAAAGGCCACTCTCGGGGATCGGTAACTTGTCGCGAGGAGAGAGCTCACTAAGTATAACGATCTTGAGAGTGATGCAGGGCCAGTAGAAGCACTGGAAAACTGCGTCGACGTGGACTAGAAAACCCACCTAGGTCGAAATTTTTTTGATAAGGATTACAAAGAAGAGCAACGGCTTCGAATAAACGAGACTTGGAAGGAAATATAATTATAAAGAACCTTATCAGTGAATAGATCGATCGAAACCGGAAGACAGAATATAGAGGTAAACAAAGGGGAAAAACAAGAAAGGTATAGAAAGAGATGAGACAAAAGTAAAATAAAAGAGAGAGAGATGTTGAAAACGTGAAGGTAAGAGCGAGAGGGCAGATAAAAAATTTAAACCTCAGGAATAAAAAAAAAATTGAGAAAGAGGAAGTGATTGAGAAAGAAAGAGTCTGAGAGTTATGGATATGGAGCGAAAGGAAACAGACGAAGAACAGATGTGAGAAATGATATAGATTCTATATAGATGTATGAACGATTTTAAAGTGGTCTCCAGAGAATGACCCAAATTCTTGATGCTATCTCTCCGTTCGTTCATTTTAGTATGGCTATATGGTATAGTGATCCGATAACGGCAGTTTCAACAAATGAGCAGTATTTTGTAGAGAAAACGGGGATGAGCAATTTCAGATCGATATCTACAAAATTGAGACACTAGTTCGCATATATACTGACGGATATGGCTAAATCATTTATATATATTTTTTATAGGTTCGCTAACGATTCCTGCTAAGTGTTAGAAACTTCGTGGCAAACTTAATGTACCCTATACAATCAATATTTATATTATATACATATTAAGTTGGACATTTTTATATGAAATTGATATAATTTTATCACTGGTTAGAGGCTAACGCTTTGTGCTGTGACTCATCTAACAAAACTGCACGTTTCAGTAGATAGGACAGTGTCAAAATGAGTGTCAAAAAAAAAAAAAATTAAGCAAAAATAAATCCACAAAATATAATATCATAACGGTATCAAGTAACCGCTTATTGCTGAATCATCTCACTCGCTTTCCATTCTAAAAGAGTTTAATATCAAATGGAATCTTTTAACGATTTTTCGCCACTCGCCTTTTTTTCTGTTTTATTTAACATATGTATGTATGTGTTTTTTACAGTAAATAAGTGCAGATACATATATTCTATATAGAATAATACAGAAAAGAAATACGAAAGGTTTCTAAGAAATTTCCATGCTGACACCTGCTAGATTAGCATTACTGAGCCTTATCAGCGCGACTAGATACATTTACTATACCGTACATGTATGTTTGTATATATGTATGTACATAGGTACAGCTACTAATTGGTATGACTCTGCGGAAATTTTTGCCCAATTCCATTGATAACCTGATAAAATGTTAGCTTAAAATAGTAAATACATACGTACAGAGGAATTTAGGTACATTTACATATATACCATATATGTACATATGTAAGGATTTTTATCTTGAGCTTGATAGGTCCGCTTGTATGACAGCTGTTTACATATGTATGTATAACAGTGCTTAGAAGCTGATTAAAGTATTTAAAGTCAAAAAACATATTACCAAACAAACTGTCATTGCTGTGAGTTGCAAATAAAGTACAAACAAAATACAATAATAAAAGAAGAACGCACAGACACATAAATATTCATATCCATAAATATAGATATGCGAATGTGTGTGTGTGTGTGTTTACTTTCGTCTAAAGAGTAGTGTGCTGTGGCCACATTCGTTGTAGTACGCATGCACTCAGCGAATCGTAGTTTGACGAGCAAATGCGAAAGCGCAGAAATTTATAGCATGCGAGAAAAACAAACATATATGAGCGCGCAACAACAAAGCAACTGATTTCATTCATAAAAACGAAATGTGGAGAAGAGTAAAAAAACAATGAATAGTAAATGTTGGAGAAATGGTTGCAAGCGAGCGTGTTTGGGCGAACATGACTGAAGGAAAGGTTATGCGAATAAATATTTACGTAAATACATATATGTACATGGAACTATTATAATCTTAAATTAAATAGTATATAATATTTTGGATAATGGAATAATATATTATTTACAACTAGTAAATAAAATAAATATTTAGCAATATGTATATATAAATATATATTTTATTTATTATTTATATTAATAGAATTTTATTTATTTTTAATTTTGTTCAAACATGTTCGCACACAACAGCACCTTCCTACACGCACGCACGCTTTYTTCATGTCGCACACACACACCATAAGAGACGACAAACCAGCAACACTTTTGTCCTTCAACATGCATTTGCTGTTGTTATTGTTGTTGCTAAACTCACGATGGCTCTAATAAATTGAATATTTGCACAACTGCAAACGCCGCCACACGCAACAAAGCAGCGCGCGAAGTGGATACAATACTGCACATACATAAATACATACATATATTTATGATTTACATGTGAATGCATGTGTGTGTGTGCCTTCGCATGGCGCCCCACATGTGCGGCTGGTAAGGCACGCTCATTGCAATCCGATAACACATTTGTTATTGCAATGCACATACATATGTATGTATGTGTGTAATGCCGCCAAAGAGCAACAACAAAAGCAACACACAAGCAATAACCAACTGATCAGCCAAGCAGTCAGCAGCAATTCACAACCAACTGTTCACATGCACACACACACACATGCAAATGCAATGCAATCGACCAAACGCCATGCAACACAACACAACTCAGCACCGTATAGCGCAATAACAACAACCATTGCTATTTGTACACACATAAATACATATACATATGTACATACATATATGTATGTATGAGTGTAAATTTGTGCTTCTGCATTTGTTTGGTTACTACTACTGGGCTTGCTTGTTGGCTGACAGCCGGACTGGTTGGCAGCAGTTGATTTCTTGGCTGCCCATACATTTGCTCGGCCTGCCTGCCAGCCTGCTTGCGCCTGTCTACCCCTGCTGCGCTGCTGGATCATCGCCATCGACATTGCCATCGTCGTCGTCGGAGTTGTGCTCGTCGTCGTCGTTGGCACTGGCGTGCGCCTTCGTTTGGGTTGTTGTATGAAACGGCTGAGTTTGGTGTGTCATTCGGTTCGCTACCTCGCTCGTTGACGGATGTGAGTGCATGAGAACGGAGCGGTGTTTATTGTAGTAGGAAGTAATCACAAAACAAATTAACAACGGAAGAGTAGCCAGCAAAAAATAAAAACAATTGTGCGAAAGTGTCGAATAAGAAAGCAAAAAGCTATAAAAAATTATTATCAAACAATTTCCAATGGAAAATCGACAAGTGTTGTTGTAAAACATTCAGCGCCGCATATTACGTTAATATTATTGGAAATACATACATACATACATACATATGTAAATAAGCTACAAAGCATTTACTGTTCAACTGTGCGCAGGTGTTGCAAGTGTATTTTGTGTGGCATGTGTCATTGAAGGCTCAAAATCGCGCAGCTTATTAGATATTAAATTTGAAAATATAAACAAAAAATAAGCAGTGACAAGGCGTATGAAAATATATGTAGCGGAAAGTGATTTTTTCTAAGAGATAAACTGAAAACAAATTTTAAAAGTAAAAATCAGCGGAAAAATAAAACAATTTTTTAACCAAAAATAAGATAAAAAATAATTAGGGTATTGTAAAACAAAATATTAAAAGCGTTGGTTGAACTTGAAAAGCTTGGAGATAAAGTTAGTTCTAAATAACAAAAATAAAATTTAAGAATTTTTTGTGAAAAATTTCGAAAAAACGGTTGAGTTTAGATAAAAAAAAATTTTTTTGGAAAAAGAAAACAAAAAAATTTTGAAAAGAAAAAAGTATTTTCAAAAGGAAAAAATATTTTGAATTTATAACATTTTTAAAGACGAAAATCATGTATCAACTCCTAAAAGCATGCATTTTGAAAAATTTTTTTTAAGGAAAAAAAATAAAAAATTTTAAATTAAAAACAATAATTTCTTAAAAAAAAATACAATAAAAGCATAACTTTAATTTAAAAAATATTACCCAAAATTTATTTAAAAAACATCAAAAACCAATAATTCACAGTGTAAAAATTAAATTTCATACATCACTTTAAAAAAGTGTTGAAAAAATAATAAATCACATACAGTACTTGACAAAAGTGTTGAACCAACTCAAACTCAAGTGTTATTACAACCCCAACAAACACAACAGTGTCAACCAAGTGACACGCTAAACTGCCGCGGAAGCGTAGAAAAGGCCAATTAGTACAACAAACAACAAGCAATTTAGCTTAGACGGCCCAACACCCGCAACTAACGTGCAAACGGCGTGGCAAAGCGGCGCGAAACGCGAAAAAACAGCTTGACGGCGGATTACAGCAACAAACAAAACATCATTATTGTTGTTAGTGTGCTGGGTAGGCAAATCGTACGCTAACCACAGCGAAAAATCGCAGTATAAATGTCTGAAGTGTATAAGTGAGTGATAAAAAATTGACGAAAAATAAACAGTTATAATCCTAAAACTCAAATAAACTGTTAATTGCAACAATAATTACAAAAAACAAAAAATAACAACTATAATTAATAGTTGTAACGGTTAAAGAACGAATCAAGTAAATATTAATAATCGTAAACACAATATATGGCCAATACAAAAACAGCAAGTGTAACGGCAACAGCGTCAGCAAGTACAACAGCTATTGGCGGCAGCGAGCAACAATTCTGTATGCAATTAAATGCTTCAGAATTAACGGCGATCATAATGAAAGGTAAGCGCACAAGAACAGTTACTTATTAGTTGAATTTCGATTTATGAAAAAGTACTTGAACACTTATTTAAAAAAAAATTACTATAAAATCTTAAACATTAAAGCTGCTCGATCTTTTAAATAACTAATTTAAAACATTTTCTGTTTTTTGGGTTATGAAAATTCTCTGAAGAAAAGTTATAAATTGTAATGAGGTCTAGGTCAGTTTCAGCTACTTATAAAAGACTTGAAGGCAATCAACCGATCTTCAAAAGTTTTGAAGAACGAACGATGTTCTCAGCTAAAACTGAAACCTGTACTATGGTAACTTCCAATTATTTTGTTTGTAGAAGTTGTTTCAAGCATTTTTCGGAAAACTTGACAACTTGACTTGATCATCAATTTACGACACATTTTTAGACAATTCTCATAATAATGATTTCGTAGAGAACAATTTATAATTTAGTATCAGAACAAGCATTACATTCCTTCTGATTTGTGTGGATGGTTGATCCCACAGCATTACGGGGAACCTAACTAGTTTCCACACAAATCCGAAGGAATGTTTGGATCAGACCTAGACTGTTGAATTCAGTCCTCTGTGAAACCAGCTACCAGTTAGATCTATGCAACCTTGGGAAGTGCAAATTAGTTAGCTCTACGTGCTTTTGGGAAGACACGTACGATCTGCAATTTTGGAGAGAATTGAAGTTTTTCAGAAATGCTTTTAGTGATCCACACATACTGGATCATTGCACGGAACTATGGCAATTTTTGTCTAGTACCAGCACAATTTAAGCCCACGAATTGACAAATAGCATTTAGTAAACTCTCTTCGTTTTTGGGCAGACAAGTACGATCCACAATTTACGAAAGATCTGTTAGTGATCCTCACAAATTAGATTATTCTAAGAAATTTAGTATACTTCAGTACCGGAAAAACTTAATATAAGAAGATTTGATTCATATTTCTGTTCTTTTTCGGAAATCAGTTGGAGAAAGGCACCAAATGAGTCCACTTTTCATTAGCTTTGTGAATTTTTGTGATCTTTATAGGGTTTTACGCAATTTTAACGAAAAAAACTTGCCCGTATTCTGGCGTTGTAAAATGATAGGTAAGCTTGGTGAATTTCATGATGTAGAGATTCTCAAAAAAAAAAAAAAAAAAAAAAAAAAAAAAAAAAAAAAAAAAAAAAAAAAAAAAAAAAAAAAAAAAAAAAAAAAAATTATATAATTCAAACACAAAACAAAAAAAAAGATAGTGTTACTCCTTCACTTCGAGACATTTCAAGACTTAATATTAATTTTGGAAAGAAACTTTATCATTTCAACACTTTAAATGTAGCAGTCCTTGTCAAATCTGATCAGCTCTTACTTGAGTGCATTATATACAGCTATGTATATACATATGTACATACAAACACTTCAAAGTACGCCTGCACTCGTTGCGCTAGTTAACACCTTTAGCGGAAATACCGCAAACGAATTGGCAAATTTTACTTCCCCCCACTAACGGCAGCAGCAGCCCGGCGCCGTGTTATCGCACTTTGACCAAGCAGAACAGACGTAACAACGCAAACACACACACAAGCGCGCGCTTTAAACTGGGATTATCGCTTATTGTCTGCAACACTGCTATACAGCTTAATTAGCGGTTTATGGCGGTCTTTATTAATGTTGTTGTTGTATTTTTTTTTACTAGGAAATATGTACTTAGGAGCGATCTTCGTACAGATTGAATGCTAAACAATTTGCTATTGCGACTAAGTCGCGGCAGTCGCTATTGTGTTGATGCTAAAGTTCATCTGTGTGTGTGTGTGTATGTTCATATGTATATGCGTGTGGCTTACTTTGTGACAAATATAATGACCGCATTTTATTGCGCAATTTTGTCAAGTAAAGCCTTGTTTTGCGTTCTTACTACAGAATATATTACTATTATTGTATCACACACACACACACACACATGCTTAGATTTGTTACATAACTTTTGTTTGTTTGTTTGTGTTAATTGTTGGCTTTGTTTTTACACAGGTGTTTAGTGCTTTTGTAAATATTATTACAAGTGCAGTAGCAACTAAAAGGCAGACAATTAGTTGTGCTGCTAGCGCACATACACATTCATACATACATTTTTATGTAGGTGTGTGTTTATGCGATATGTGATTGCGTGGGTGTATTTACGCGTTGCTCTTGAAATAAGTTAATACTAATTAACAGACGTCAAACACTTAGATTATCCGTTAAAACAGTTAACAAATAGAGCAAATTCTATTACTAACATGTAAATATATTTGAATATAAATATTTTTGCAACTATTTAGACGGAAATATGACGAAAATATATAGTTTTTTGTTTTTGTTTTGCGTTTCGATATTTTTGAAAAGAAGTTACAAAAGCGCAAAACAAGAGCTTAACAACTTAAAGCAAACAAAAACAACTATTAATAACAGAAAAGCATATTTACTTACAGAAAAAAGTAATAATAATAACAAGAAATTTTTTAAAGTCGTGGAAATAGAGCAAAATTAAACAAATAAAAATGTTTATAAAAATAATTATAGTAA